GTAAGATGCGTCATAAGAATAGCCAATCCATTCATCACCCAAAGAATTTCAAAAAAACTTTCCACACGTTAATGACTATTAACATGTGGAAAGTAGAAAATTTTGTAAGATACGTCATTTATCACCCAAAGAACTTCAAAAAAACTTTTCACACGTTAATAACTATTAACGTGTGGAAAGTAAAAAATTTTGTAAGATGCGTCATAAGAATGGCCAATTCATTCATCACCCAAAGAATTTCAAAAAAAACTTTCCACATGTTAATGACTATTAACATGTGGAAAGTAGAAAATTTTGTAAGATGCATCATTTATCACCCAAAGAATTTCAAAAAAACTTTCCACATGTTAATGACTATTAACGTGTGGAAAGTAGAAAATTTTGTAAGATGTATCATAAGAATGACCAATCCATTTATCACCCAAAGAACTTCAAAAACAAAAAAAATTGAAACACTTTCCTTTTCCCATTTTTTCCTTTTCCATCATTTGCTTTTCCTTTTCTATAATGTGTGTGTGAATGGTTTGAATTGGGGAGTACAATAAGAATCTGTTTTATTGGAACCATTGATTTGCTTTTTAATTCTTCTTTTCATCTATATTGTATACGCTTGGGATTGTATGAAAAGAAAATACAAAATTTATATTAATTTTATTACCGTTCTCACTTGGATAAATTTAAAGTTAAATGTTAATTTTATTTGTACAATTTTTATCTCTCAAATTTTTTATGCATTTTTTAATCCTTCAACTATAAAAAATACAATTTTTTAGTCTTTCCGTCAATTAGTTCGTTAAATCTATTCAAATGTGCATATTTTTTGTTTCTCAACTTAAAAGTTTGTTGATTAAAAATGTGTATATTTGAACAGAAGAACTAAAAAAGTACATTTTTTATAGTTGAGGAACTAAAAAAAGCATAAAAAATTAAAGGACAAAAATTGTGCAAAATGTCAAAATTGAGGGATCAAAATTGACATTTAACCTAAATTTAATTGGATACTTGATAAGTTAAAAATCAATGTTTATTTCTCAATACAAATTTAGAGCTAAAAGGTGCATTTAATTGCATGCATTAAAAAAACCTTCTTTTAATTGACTCAGGATGAATTTACATACAACTATTACTATAATACTCCAAATCCCTTATTGAAATAGAAGTATGATTGTAATTCATACATAATAGTCATGACTAACTACTACTAATAAGTTGAGTTTATACTTGAGGCCCATAAACTTTAATATAAAGAGTTGTTAGATCAATGGCGTATTTTGGCTTTGATCCTTTCAATTGACCATTATGGTTAGGTATAATTAGCATATAATTATCATAACTAATCATTATTAACAA